AAATCACGAGAACCAATTAACTGCAACTGGAAATTCTTAATAAGACACACAGAATAACCTTGAACTTTTCAACTCCTCTCTCTAAAAAAAATATATGTGGCAGCTGAATTTCAAAGCTGACAGTGCCCTCCCTGCACATGGGCGCACAACCCCCCGCCCCCACTCCCTTACCTGTACTGCACATGTGCACACCTCCCAGCTGATTTTTGGCTTGTTTGAGGCCGTTTTCGTCCCCCCCAGAGGCTTGAGGGAAGCCTCTGCAACCTTCGGAGGCCGAAAAACAGGCCCATTTCGGCACTTCCGGTTTCGGCACTTCTGATTTCGGCACTTCAGGTATTTCCGGAAATGCCGAAACGGGCCTGTTTTTCAGCCTCCCAATGCTGCAGAGGCTTTCCTCAAGCCTCCGGGATGGCGAAAACAGCCTCAAACGGGCCAAAAATCAGCTGGGAGGTGCGTGCATGCACAGTGCAGGTAAGTTTGGCTGGGGCTTGCATGCCCGCACAAATGGTTCTGCGTGCCTCCTGTGCCTCACGTGCCATAGGTTCGCCATCACGGGCTTATGGCATATTCTGAGAGAGGGAGAAAACTCCTCCTCCCCTGAAGTATGAATAGAACTCAGGTAACATAAAAAAAAATACTTTTGTGACTCCAATGCAAGGACTCCATTCCTATATGGGAAAAAAAGGGATATAGTGCTCACAACAACTTGCTTTTATATTCCAATCCATTAGAGAACACTTAAAATAATTGTTAAAGCCCAGGCTTAGACAAATTATAGTTCAAGTGTTATGAAGATACACTATAATAGGTAACAGCAGATTTAACTTAAAGATGAGCATAATTGGACATACGTTAGAGTACTTAACATTTTCAGTGATTTTAGAGTTGCATTCAATGCTGAAAGGCTGTTCGGTGAGCCCAACGGTTTCCCATCAAACATGACCCTCAACTTTGCCATGGGCTTTTTAGAAAGCTCTTTAAAAAAAAGAAAAAGAAAAAAGAAAATGGAGGGGTGTGTGTGTGTTTGCCTGAAGGAGAGGAACATTCAAGGCCATTCCTTTCAAAATGCACCTGATCGCTTCTCTAATTTACAACCCATCACAAATCAACTTTTTAAGTGGGCCATCTGAACGACAAATACAAGGTGCTGCTAACTTGTAAGCAAAGAAAATACACCAGAAGTTTTCAGAATCTTTCTTCTCTGCAGCCAGTCCTCGAATTACATTTAGCGACCATTCAAAAGTTACAATGGCCCTGAAAAAAGTGACTTAGGAACGTTTTTCACGCTTACGGCCATTGTAGCAGCTCTGTGGTCAGGTGATCACAACCGTGTGTCAAGCCCAAAATTTAGCCCTATCATATATTCCTTTTCTTTCTCTTTGCTGGTTTGAGGGGGGGGGGGAGGATTTCGGGCTTGCCACATTCCCAAGGTGGGAGGAGTGGAGATCGTGAGGGTTGTTTAGGCTAGGTGGTTCTCCTTTCCCGTGGGAACCGAAACTGACCCTGCTGAGACCTGGAGGTGGAGACTGATGACACCAGGAAACGTTGATTTACCTCTATTAGGGAATGTGACTTCTGGGGATTGTTTCTAATTTCCAATATTATGTGGTGTAATTCTGGGTTGTGTCAGATCCGGAATTACAACAGACTTTGCCAATTTGATGCTTTCCTAAATAAAATAAATTGTTTTGGAAGACAGACTTTGCTCTTTTCTTTTTAAATGGATTTCATCACTTGGAAACCTGACACCGTGTTGCTAACTGAACAAGTGCAGTGGTACACTTAACGACTGTGGCAAAAAAGGTTGTAAAGTGGGGCAAATCTCACGTAAACATTGTCTCACTTAACAACATAAATGTTGGGCTCAATTGTGGTCACAAGTCGAGGACTACCTGTGCCTTCAAAGACCACCTCAAGCTTGCCATTCCTGTGAAAACCCCTCAATGCAACGTCAAATTCTTCTCTATCTAAATTTAAGTACACCCAACTGAAGGATGACATCATCTTCCATTTTCTATTTATGTATTTAGGTTTAGTTATTAAATTTATATGCCACCCATCTGACTGTCAAGCGACTCTGGGCAGCTTATTGCCTTTATTTCCCCTCTATTCCCAGGTATCGTTTGTCCTGTTTTAAATCTTCATGCATAACTTCCTCGACTTCTTGTTCTTTGAAAAATGCTAAGTCCATTGTTGATGCTGTACCAGCAGCCAACACAGCTCTATGGAGGTTTAAAGGCCTCCTTTTTGCAGTCCTTGGAAGATCTCCAGCTATGACTATTGAAGCGTGACGGCAGTTTCCAGCTATTTTTGAGGTGCGAAACACATTAAAGTTGTAATGTAAACCTTCAAATAGTGATGCTTTTAAAAAGCAAAGAAAATCTCCCCCCCCCCCTTCTCCAAATTGTGTTGATGTATAGAGAGAATCTTAAATAGAAACTTCTGCATATTTTCCTGCCAAATATCCTTGCATTTTTCCAGAGTTAATATTTTTCTCCATTCTTTACTAGCAGATCTTCTCCATTAATTATAATAATACATGATGATAAATTATAAAAAAAATTCCTGGTTGCTTCTAGTAATCAACCTTCAAAATCTCCTCTTACCATGTTTTTTCTCTAATCCACATTTTCCTAGAGAAAATGTTTCACTTAAAACTCTTTTTGCTCAAAAACTCTAAATCTTTGTCTACTTTTAATAAGATATTAAACAAACTGCAGAAAGCATTCTTATTCTTGCAACATGTTGTTGTCCAGGCTACGTGGCCCCTTACTCGGTTTAAAACTTTCCAAAACCAACATTCTAATTACCCTCGGCTGCTTATTTCCAAATTAAAAAAAGTTTTCTTTAACTTTTAAACCTACGTAAATCCTATTTCAATGTCAGTTGGAGGAAAGTCATTACACTCAGTGTAATAAAACTCGACATTCTGAAAGTTCTTAATATCCAAAAAAGCAATTTACAAGCCATTTCCAATAAAAGGAATTCAAGAAAGAGGGCAGACCCAACATCTCCTTTAAGGCTCCAAATTGCTTAAAAGAGCAAACAATTTTGCTGAGAAATCACTTGCCCTTTGCCTCTCTCAAATTACACTCAGCTGGAGCAATTCCATCAAGCAAGCTGAACTACAGGTAATCCTCAACTTACAAAGTTCATTTAGCGACTGCTGGAAGTTACAATGGCACTAAAAACAAAACGGATGGCCGTTTTCAGTCCTTAAGACTGTTGCAGCCTTCCCAAGATCACATGATCAAAATTCAGATGAAAATTCACATGATCAAAATTCAGATGCTCGCCAACTGACTCATATATGACGACAACACAGTGGTGGGATTCAGAAAATGTTACTACCCATTCTGTGGGCGTGGCATGGCGTGGCTTGGTGGACGTGGCTTGGTGGGAGTGGCTGGAGAAGGATACCATAAAATCCCCATTCCCACCCCACTCCAGGGGAAGGTTATTACAAAATCCTCATTCCCTCCCCACCCCACTAACCTGCTTTTCAGCTCTGTTCTCCTGTGCAGGGCAACAAAAGAAGACCCAGCCAATCAGCTGGGACTCCGGAGGCGGAGAATAGATGGGGCGGGGCCAATCAGAGGCGGGATTTGCCGGTTCTCCAAACTTCTCAAAATTTCCTCTACTGCTTCTCCAGAACTGGTCAGAACCTGCTGAATACCCACCTCTGCAACTGCAGTGTCCTGGGGTTCATGTGATCCCTTTTTGCAACCTTCTGACCAACAAAGTCAAGAAGGAAGCCAGATTCATTTAACAACTGTGTTACTAACATTTACAATGGCAGTGATTCGCTTAACCTCAGCGGGAAAGGTTGTAAAACGGGGCAAAACTCCCTTAACAAATGTCTCGCTTAGCATCAGAAATTTTGGGGTAAGTCAAGCACTACCTGTATTTCACCCGCATGGATGCCAAAGTATAGATTGCATAGATCTCTCCTCCTCGCTCCTCTTTCCTCACTTGCCTTTTTCTAAATATTACCTCGAAAGCAAGAGCTGAGTTTTGCAAGCTACTTTGGAAGTCTTTTTGGCCAACAAACATAGTAAAAACGCTGCATGGAAAAGGTAGAGGTTATCAGTACTGTATCATTCAGCCAAAACAATGCGGGGAGGGGAAGAGTTGTGTTTTAATGCAAGGATGTTCAATTGCATCCCTTTTTTCTCTTGCACAGAATCCAGGTGTTGGAGTTCTGTCAGCACTTACAGGCAAACAATTCAAGGTACATTAAGGAATACCCAATTACTGTGCGGAGGAAAGGTATCTCCCCATGGTATTAAAATCAACTAATTAATAGCATTCTGGGGAGACAACTCGCCACAGCAATCTAAACAGTACCACACATGCCCTGAAACTCTGTGAAAACCAATTAGAAAATACAGGTTTTGTTGTCAAGAATCCAGCACACTTTTTCCCCCAACATGACACACCACCTAAACCAGAAAAAACTCTTTGAATTCTTTTTAACAATTCTGTTGCAAATAATTAGAGCACATACTTTTCTTTTCCCACCCCTGCTCTTAATTTAGAGAAAAGTGTGGATGAATTGAAATTTCACAAAATAGCTTTGCAGAAAAAGTTGGTTTTTGGTTTGGCTTTTTTGAAAAAAACAAACCCCAATATCTACAGATGTATTTTCAAAATTTATAGCAGCCATAAACAAATTTAGTTTTTTGTTTTTTTTAAAGGCAATCACCTACCAGTGCGTAATAAAAGGAGATTCTAAAGAATCTCTTGGAAATTTTCAACACCCTGGATAGGATTGCAAATTCTTGGCAAATTACTGTCAGCAAAATGTCTGCGTTATATTCCTAAGAGCCCACAAGTCTCTCTTTGTGCCCAAAATGTAGCCACTAGCTAAGAACAAAGACTCTTTCCAAAGTAGGCACCGCACCACCACAATTGAGTTTCTTGTCTGGTTTATTCTGGGGGGAAGAGGAAGAAGAGAGTCTGCCCTAGAACCTTGATTTTAGGACTATGTGAATGCTCACCTTCCCATTGGCCTGTGAGTACAAAGGTTCGATTAATGACTATATCAATCTCTTGGGCCCCATCTTCCACGGCTAACTGGATCTCCTCTAAACGGGTTTTTAAAGGTGTCTGTCCTGCTGGGAATCCAGCTGCCACTAAGAAAAGAAAAACAAAGTCCGTTAAGTACATCAGGGAGGTTAAAATAGTGTCAATATTCTGTATCAGGCGTTAAGATGTAGGATTTCTATTAGGCCTCTCAGCAGCTTTCAATTCCATCAGTCATAGCATCCTTCCGGGCTACCAGAATTGCAAGATTATTTTACAGTGATTTGACTGCTACGCAAGTGAGCAGCCTCAATCTGTGAGAGAAATGGTGAAGTCCATGGGGGACCCCAAAGTTTAGATGCTTAACATGCTGTTTAACATGAAACCACTATGGGATGTCAACCATTGGTGAATGGAATGGAATGGAATAGGATAGGACAGGACAGGACAGGACAGAACAGAACAGAACAGAATAGAACAGAATACTTTACTGGCCAAGTGTGATTGGACACACAAGGAATGTTCATAAAAGAAAAAATACATTCATCAAGAGTCAAGAATTATAAGGTACAACACTTAATGATCGTCATAGGGTACAAGTAAAATAGCATCAATACATCCACCCTCCCTTGACCAAACTGGAAATAGCACAAACGTTTTGAAGTAGTGTTTGGAATCTCTGTGAGGATCCCAATGGAGCAATTCTGGAGAAATTCACCACATTCTAGTGAGGGAGAAGTTCCCTGAAGATGGGCTTCAGCATGAATCCCAAAGTCTGGAAGACTAAAACTCTGGTCCCAGGGACCGACCCAGATTGGATCCTGCAACTTTATCCTTGGGACACGCATTTTTGACTTCATTCAGAGCAAATAAAGCCCAAGTTAAATTTCTCAAAGACGGAACTGATGAGTAAGCATTCAATAACACTGGCCTCAGTAGTAAAAAAACATATATATAGCACTGCTGTTTCATGCAGGAAGTAGCACAGGGATCTTCAAACTTGACAGCTTTAAGACTTCTTGTGGACTTCAACTCCCAGAATTCCTCCTACAGTCATGTTAGCTCAGGAATTCTGGGAGCTGAAGTCCACTGTCAGCCCTACCAGACTTATAGCCAAATTCCATCATCGGAATCCCACAAAACCAGGGGGTTCCTGTGTACAGGACAGGACTCGGGAGGGAGAAGCGAACTAACCATGTTCTTTATTTTCCAGCTCCCGTCCCTATGGTAGAGGGGCCGCATGTCAGCCCTACCAGAGCCAGGGCTGCCATTCCGGTGGGTGGACAGTCGCAGCACTGATGACGAAGACTGATGAAGGGGGAACATACCGCACTTGCACAGCTGCCAACTGAGCAGCGTTAATGGGCACTGGAGACTAGGGAAGATGTTGCGCATGTGTGACCTACAGCTGAGAGGCGCAAGTTTCAAATTAGCTGGAAAGCGGCATTCTCCTTGTATGGAGACTGAAGATTATAGGGCAGTGATGGCTAACCTTTTTGGGCTCCTGTGTGAAAAATTGCACACGTGCCAGCGTGCACGCACTCACGTGCCAGAACCCAGAATGCAATGTGTGCCCCCTCCCCATGCCCTCTACACATGCGCACGTAATCCCCCCACCCCCACACCTGCACTATGCCTCACAGCTGATTTTTCCGTTGGTTTGAGGTCTTTTTCGGTCTCCCAGAGGCTTGGAAAAAGCCTCTGAAAGGCTTTTCAGACTGAATTGTAGGCCTGTTTTGTCACTTCCAGTATTACCGGAAGCGACGAAATGGGCCTATAATTCATCCTGAAAAGCTTTGCAGAGGCTTTTTCCAAGCCTTTGGGAGGCCGAAAAAGGCCTCAAACCAACAAAAAAAAAAATCAGCTGTGAGGCACGCACATGCGCAGTGAGGTAAGTTTGTTTGCGGCTTGCATTGCCAGCACAAATGGCTCTGCGTGCCACTTGTGGCACACATGCCATAGGTTCACGATCACAGTTATAGGGTGTAGTGGAGGCGGTGGTGTTGCGCGGCTATATCAGTGGTGGGGGATCACTCAGTCGGCAGCTCTGACAAAAAGCGGTTTGTTGCTAGTCAGTTCGTGCTGTTTTCACTGCAGAGATAAAACAACACCGGCAAAAGGTTTGCTTTTGACTTTTTATTTTCTGGCGTGAATAGTGGAACCTGACATCCACAAGTCTTAAACTTGCCAAGTTTGAAGACCCTTGAAGTAGCATGAGCTGAACGTTTCCTTTAAATAGCTATCGCAGTGAGTCGCTTAACAACTGCATCAAGAAAGCTTGTAAAATGGGGCAAAACTCACTTAACATGTGCCTTGATTAGCAACATAAATTTTGGACTCAGTTGTGGTCGCACGTGGAGGACTAGCCACGCATCTCATTATTTCATTTCATTCCTTTAGATCATAGATGGTTAGGGCTCAATTGTTCTTTTTAACCCAGAACTGTATCAAGGTTGGCTGTATGTGGCATGACAATGTGGGGCTGTACCTCAGTGAAGTACAAGGCAGAAATGTTAATGAACGATTAATAAAATTTCAGAAATTCCTGTGGAGAGCTTACCTGAAGCTACTGGGATGTGGCAGCCAGTAGATTTGAGAGCCTTAACAGCATCAGCTACTCTAGCCGGATAGACACAAACGGCTGCTGTGGTGATGCCTGGAAAGGAACCATCATCAAGACTCTGTTATCCTCAACAAAAGAATATTTATAGCTCAGTGTTGTATTCAGAGTATTGCAGCGTAAATTCAGCACCGGAAAAGTAAACACAGATGATTGAGGATTCATTTAACTTCTTTATAAACATATAAAGTAAATTTTACAATACCAGCTGTAGATTTCTCTAAGATGGAGCAAACTCAAACAGAAGCGGACATGTTACAGGTTCCAAGCTGAACAGCAACTCAGGAGCTCAGAAACAGATATCAGTTTCACTTCAGCAGGCAAGCAAGACACACAGCAGAGGAGAGAAGCAGTTCCATTTTCAATAGACAGACTCAGAGCTCAACATAGCTTCAGAGCTAATATAGAGCCATGCCTAGGCTACTTCTAGTTTCAATTTCCAGTCTAGGCTACTTCTAGTTTCAGTTTCCAAACAGTCCTCATTGGCTGACTTAGTTGCTATTCCTATTCATTGGCTGACCTTGTTACCATGCTCTATTCCAGTTCATGAATATACTGACACGTTGAAATGCAGGGTTCTTGGTGCTCTCTGAGCTTGTCTGTTTTCCTGCAGACATTTCATTACCCAAAATAGGTAACAGCACCAGAACTCAAGCATTGATTGAGCACTTGTGATGTTGTCTAGTTTGGGTCATGACTTAGACTTGTCACTTTAAATATACACTAATCGGCATACATTAAAATGAAATTTGGTTGCATACAGATCTCAAAGGGTCACTGCCTCCAATATACACTAGATAAACATAACAGAAATATAGATAGATAGATAGATAGATAGATAGATAGATAGATAGATAGATAGAGAGATGCAAATACCCACATACCCACATATATGACACAAACAACACAGTCTAGTTCGGATGTATACATGTACATGGCAAGAAAAACGAATCTTGCGAGTTTACCAGACAGATGGTCTAGGGAACAAAGCTGTTACAGAATCTAGTAGTCCTGCTAGAAATACTTTGAAACTTCCTCCCTGAGAGGAGCAACAGAAACAGACTGTAAAGTGTGGGGTCTCTAGCAATGCTTTGAGCTCTAAGCATGTAGCGCTTATAAGCAGTATCCTGAATAATGGGAAGTAAGCTTCCTAGAATCTTCTCTGTTGTCCTTACCTCTCTCTGTATGGACTTTCTATCTGAGGCACTGTTGACACCAAACTAAACAGTGATGTAGTTTGAAATGTTTGTAAGAGAACCACCAAGCTCAGCAAGTGCCAAGGACCCCTCTTCATGTGACTTTTGTCCACTAACTTAGTTCAATCCAAGGGACCCTTTCCTAATTTTGCACTCTGTGTAGATGGACTCCAACCACCCATATCCCCAGCCACATAGGGATTATGAGAGTCCACAATCAAACAACCTAGCTTTGGAAGGAGACCCTAGCATTTAATTTGCCTTTCAAAAGACAGCCTTCAAAGTACTCTCCCGACTATTGTAAAAGCAGTAAAGTTAAACATTATTTTGGAAGAGCGGGAGAAATTTGGGAGGAGATCGTTCAGAAGTTTTCACACACAAAAAGGTCCCCATCATCCAGTCAGAGTTGAAGAAACTTCTTGAATGAGAAGTGAAACACCTTCAAAGAAAAACAAAAAAAGTCCAGTTGCCTCTTGAAAAAAGCACATTTGGGGCAACCATGACCTGGATGACTGAGAATCTCCATAGGCAAAAAAAACCATGTGTATCTGTTCAAGGTGCAAGTCAATAATTGGAATATTAACTCACATGACCAAGTTTGTCCTATCATGGCCATAATTTAAGCTAAAATCCAGAGGATAATTTCCATGATTTTAGAGGCATAAGAACAATTTCACTTTTCACTTTAATATATGCCAATTAGCATACATTCAAAATGACAGTAAAGTTACTATTCTATTCTATTCTATTCTATTCTATTCTATTCTATTCTATTCTATTCTATTCTATTCAACATTTCTTCTTGGCAAAATCCATAATATTTGAGATTTATCAGGCACTATGAATTTTTCATGCCTGGGGAATGGCTTGAAGAGTGATTATGCCACACTGCTGGGATCGATCCACTGTGAGCCTGTGCAAGGCAGTTCTCATGTTCCTTAATGCGACTGGCATTACTGAGAAGAGAAAACACCATTTGTCTTGATCAAATGCTTTGCTTATTCTCACAGCTTCCACTTAGCCTCGTCCTTAGCACTTGAAACTATTGGAGGAAGCTATGGATAAAAAGCAAAACGAAGCAATCTTCCTGCCACTTGGTTTGTTTGTTTGTTTTTGAAGAAGACTTTTGATCCTCTTGGGCAGGGGTGTCAAACTGGATTTCTTTGAGGGAGGGATCAGCATTGTAGTTCTCCTCCGCGGCCCGGGGCGGAGCGGGGGGGGGGGGGCACGGGACGGACGCCTCTTACAGAATCCTGTTGGCCAAAATGGGCGTGAGGTGGTTGCAGGGGCCCCCCGTTTTGGCCCGCAGAGTGCAGTAGGAAACTGTGGAGGCCAAAAACGAGCCGTGAGGGAGCCACATGCGGTCCCCCGTGGCCTGCTTTGCCCAGCAGAGGCACCACAAGCCGATTCCTGAATATTTCCGGGCTGGTCCCACGGGCCAGCTCTAAGCACCCCACAGGCCGAATCTGGGCCTTGAGTTTGACACCCCTGCTCTTGGGTCAATTGTTCTGGTGGCTGTTGAACTTGCAATATGCTTTTCCCTTTTTTCTTCCATTTTCACATTACATATCACGTTGCCAGCCCAGCTCTGCCTACTCAGTTTGTTTATCTTTGTCTGAGGAAGGACAACAATATTCAAAATTATCAGTACACTTTCCCTAGATAGAAGCAAGGTTTCATAACCACAACGTACCTTTATCGCCCATTTTCAAGGCTTGTAACAAATCCTCTCGGATGGGACGTTTGGCTTTGTGGCACAATCGGCAAACACTGCACGGGGTGTCATCTCCAGAAAGAGTGGTGAGGTCTATGCAGGTGACGGCTCTCAAAAGCCAAGCTGCCTTTAAAAACACACACACACCAAACTGCTTTTAAAACATGTCCTTGCAATTGAGCTACATGGTTGGTACAGATAGTTCTTGACTTATAACCATTCATTCAGTGAACGTTCCAAGTTACAGCGGGACTGAAAAATGTGACTTATAACCATTTTTCACACTTAAGACTGTTGTAGCATCATGATCAAAATTTAGACATTCGGTAACTGGAATGAATGTATAATCTCTTTTAAATAGTGCATTCATATGCGGTGTCCTGGGATGGAAATTTGGAGCTTGTTTGTATGCGTATTTCGAAGGCTACCTGTAATTGTGGTTGGATCCTTGATTAGAGCAACCACAGATGACCAACAGAGGGCAGCAAAGAGTTTTCTATGTGTTTTGCTGCCATCTGATGGTTGTTAAGATTTCTCAAACCACCGAAACAACCACAGGTTGCATGGTAGCTTCCCTTGTTTATATCTCCAGAACACCACAACTACGAGTTGAACTAATTCAAAGTCTTTCATGGTCAAGTGTAGACACAAATATGGATATCGCCCCAGTCCAATAGCAGCCTCTAGTCTATTATACAGATACAACCACAACTGAGCCCAAAATTTCTGCTGTTAAGGGAGATACTGGTTAAATGAATTTTGCCCAATTTTACAACATTTCTTGCCTCAAGTTGTTAAGTGAATCACTGTAGTTGATAAGTTAGTAACCCGGTTGTTAAGTGAATCTTTGCTTTCCCATTGAATTTGCTGGTTAGAAGGTCTCAAAAGGTGATCCCACGATCTTAGGACATAGCAACGGTCATAAATATAACCAGTTGCCAAACACCTGAATTTTTGTTCACATGTTCATGGAGATGCTGGAAAGGTCGTAAGTGTGAAAAATGGTCATACGTCACTTCTTTTAGTGCCGTTGTAACTTTGAATGGTCATTAAACGAACTGGTATAAGTCAAGGACTAACCTGTATTTCTCCTTCTTCTAACCTGGCTGCTTTTGATTTTAAACAAGTCACAAATTAAGTAGTAACTATAGATTTTGCATAAACAATAGTCAAGTTAATTAAGATATGTAGATGCTGACATCACTGGGAACTTGGTATAGTCGCTCCACCAACCCACTGCTGAAAGCAGAAAAAGAGGGATTTCAACTTATTCCCCTTCTCCACACCAGTATTAAAAGTGTGCAATTCTTTTTTTTCTGTTTTGATTTAAAGCAGGGTTTATTTTATTGCAGAAAAGGGATTTAGTTGAATCCCCGTGTTATCTATAAGAGATAGAAAAGAACATACAATTAGCAGCTAGGAAGGGGATTCTAGTCTCCTTGTTTGCAAGATGAGTTGTGAAGGCAAACACAGTGAAAACTGTTTCAAGAATCAATTTGAGCTGAAGAGGCGGTAGAACAAACAGCTTTTAAAAATCAATTAGAAAGTTGGGGTTTTTTTTATCAATGGGATCATGCCCTGAAAACCTGACTAGGTACGGGCAGTTCTCGACTTATAGCCACTTTCGGATCCAGAATTTCTATTGGTAAGCAAGACAGTTGTTAAATGCCTCATGCCCAGTTTTATGATCTTTTGGTTGTTGTTAAATGAATCACCACAATTGTTAAGTGAATCACGTGGTCCTTAAGTGAATCCAGCTTCTCTCATTGACTTTTGCTTGTTGGAAGCCAGCTGGGAAGGTTGTGAACAGCAATTACATGACCACTGCACGTGTTGTAAATACACTGTCAACTAAAAAGATACTCCTTTGGTCTTTTTAGCTGCCAGAAAAAGGGGAAAACAGTGCATTCCTTAAGTGCCTAGATAATCACCCTGGCAGGTCAAAGTGCAACAATATTACTGGAGAACATGATTGATGACTCTTGGGGATGGATGTGTCCCATTGGGGAATATATATCCAGGGGGTGGGGGGAAGACCAGGGTCAAGGGGGAAATATATGATGTAATTTAGTATCGGCTGCATCCAGTTTACTCCAACATGGCCCCTTCTAATAAATCAATTTTATTATTTCTGAGATGCGGCTAGAGACTTATGATTTGAATGGGGGTGGATTTGTTGGAGTCCTGCCAGCCAGCTGATACTAAAATACATCACTCATTTCCCCCTTGACTCTGGTCACGCAACGTTCGCAGCAATGTTTGCACGACAGGAGCTGCAAGCACCCGCAATGAGGTAAGTACAAGTGGAGTTATGCGCACTGCGAAGGCACATGCACCCTCCGGCCAATCACGTGGCCCAGCCCGATAGTGGGCCATGGCCCACAGGTTGGGGGTGTCAACTCTGAAGCTGACCTGGTTGAAGCCATTTTTCTCCTGCCTCATAGTTGCCACAAACTTTGAAAAGGGGAAGGGAGGGGGGAAGCAGATTGACCGGCTACCAGTCAAAACAAAAAGTTTTCCTGTAGAAACCAAGGTCATCCCAGCAGATGGCAGAGGATTGGTCAAGCAGCCTCTCAGCTACCTTCATTGGACAATGTGACCGGTGATGTCTGGGGAGGGAATATTTGCTCTTAATTGGAAGGAAAACTGCAGGAACTTTTAGGGTTGGTTTTCACTAGCTGTGCCAATAGGATGTGACCAGTAAACATGTTCTTTAGGGAATCTACTTGCCTCGGAGTTCTGCTTTCAGTGGATACATTACTCAGAACTCTGACAAGGGACCCTGTCTTAAAACATTTGTATTTTAGCTGTTCTTTGTGGCCTTCCAAGTCTCAAATTGGGTAGGATAAACAGATCATCTTTCACCAGCCCATTGCCACTGTTGAGTTTTGATGACAAAAGCAGCAAACACCATGAACAAAAGACGGTGCTAAAATTCACGGGAGAAGAAGGTCTCTTTTGGAAACCCAAGAATAGGGGACTTCTCACCAGCCAATTCTTTTTCATGGACCGTTGTGTTTCAATCTGCGCTGCCCGCTTTAGAACAGCTGGGTGATTCACCCGAACCCGTGCAAGCCATGTAAGATCTAGAGGGGGGAGGGAAAAAACATCCACTTACTTCTATCACCATTTAACATCCAAAAGCAATTTTGGGAAGAAACTGAAGGGGAGATGTGAGCAGCAGTCATAAGACACTGGTCCAATTTTGGACCTATAATTCTTTAGGCCAGAGGTCTCCAAACTTGGCAACTTGAACACTTGTAGACTTCAACTCCCAGAATTCCTCAGCTCCCATAGCTTCTGGGAGTTGAAGTCCGCAAGTCTTAAAGTTGCCAAGTTTGGGGACCCTTGCTTTAGGCCTTCTTCTTTCATGTTGCCATCAACTATCATCTCTGGAATTTAACTTTTGTTGGAGGTGACCAGATTGGGGAAAACTAAAACATGATAAAAATGCATTTTAAAAGTTCTTTGTTTTATACTACTGTCATCATGATTCCATTGCTAGCAAAATAACAGAGTTGGAAGGGACCTTGGAGGTCTTCTAGTCCAACCTGTTCAAACAGGAGACCCTATATCATTTCTGACAAATTGTTGTCCAATCTGTCCTTAAAGCCTCCAGTGATGGAGCATCCACAACTTCTGAAGGCAAGTTGTTCCACTAATTATTCTGTCAGGAAATTTCTCCTGAGTTCTAGGTTGCTTCTCTCCTTGATTAGTTTCCACCCATTGCTTCTTGTCCTGCCCTCAGGTGCTTTGGAGAATAGCTTGACTCCCTCTTCTTCATGGCAACCCCTGAGATATTGGAACACTGCTATCATGTCACCCCTAGTCCTTCTTTTCATTAAACTAGACGTACTGAGTTCCAGCAACCGTTCTTTATATGTTTTGTCCTTCAGTCCCCTAATCATCTTTGTTGCTCTTCTCTGCACTCTTTCTAAACATCGGTAATAATTTCCTCCTTATCCACATGGTGGCTGGAGAATTCAGTGAGTTGTAATCCATGCATCTTAAAGTTCCTGAGGCTGAGAAACACTGCTGTAGATGACCCACCATAATTAAAAATGGAGGGCCTGTGCATATTTATTATTTTTGTTCTTATCAATTTACATCCCAATGACCTTGGGTCAGCTCCTCTCTTTCTTTCCCAGTCTGACTTACTTCACAGGGTTGCTATTTGGGAGGAAAATGGCGATACAAGCACCATGCACGCCATCCTGAGCTCCTGAAGGAAAGACAGAATATAAATAAATATTCCAACGGCTCTAAAAAAGAAAACCGGATTGCACGCCTGGGAAGGAACAGGTTTGAATCATCTTGAATGTCTGTTGAAAGACAAAGACGTTCCAATTCATTAAACCTGGGAGTGTTAATAATACCATTTTTAATATGTCATCTGTTCCAATAAAATATTCATGGGGCTTCAGGGATCAAAGTAATTAAAGTCGTTAAACTACAGATAATTAGCCAACTTTCTTTAATGCTCCCTCTGAGGGGGGGATGGGGGATGGAAATCTGCTTTGTTTCGTCTGAAAATACATTCCAAAGCTTTGCCTTCAAAACTGTATTCAGTCATCTTTCCGGTTTGAAGGGCTTCGGTGACAGACAGAAATCCGCGATCATGCGCGGTTTCTGTCTGGGCTCGCCGCTGGAGCGCCCCGAGCCTGCTGGTTTCAGGGCTAAGCCACCCCGTAGAGGTGATGAAGAGGGGGGAGACCACCAGCAGGGTTGAGGAGAGCCGCATCTCTCCACCTCAGCTGGCCATTACTCCCTTTCCCGAAGGCGGTTGCAGCGGTGGTCAGAAATGGCCACCACAAAGAAGAAACTCGACCGGAAAAGAATGTGCAGGAGGAAGATAAGAAGTGAAAGTTTGGGCTGACTGGGTTAAATTGTAAAAGCAACAACTAAGGTATCCTGGAATTTAAACTTACAAAAAATAACATTGCTCCCAAAGAAGAGTCGGAAGCAGCGAAGGAAAGTGAAAAGGGAAAGGTTTGGCTTTTTCTACTCTCTCCTTCCCTATACTGACAACTAAGAGACTTAAATAAGAAATCGGAAAAATCCGCTTTGACATCAATAGGCAATTAAGCTGAAAATAAAACAAAATGCCAAAGGGATAATAAAGATTTCTGGACATTAAATTTTTTCTTTTTCATAAGCAGGAAGGGAGAGAAAAAGAATAAGGGCAGGATCTGGAAGAGGGAGGAGACTGCTTGGAATTAAAAAGAATCTACAATAAAACTTCAACAAGACTTCTAAAAGATACATTTTAACTGAAACTTTGCAACTAAATAGTAACCCCAGGAAGAGAAAGTGAAAAAAAGAGCAAAAAAGAAACAGCTTGCGTGTATTTGGATTATTTGGTGATCTTTGGATTCTTGGTTATTATATTTGAATGACTAAAATCAATCGGGTGGTTGTTTAAAAATTTATACAATGGCACCACTTCTGGATGAATTGAAAATGGAACTTAAAAAGTACAAAGAAGATGCACAAGAAGGGAAGGGTTCTTTTGGCTTCGTTTTTCAATTCTTAGAAATGGAGATTTGGAACTATGAGAAACAACAAGAAACGACTGCAAAACAAGAAGACTGGGACAAAGAAGAAGCCATCTTTAATGAACAAGCAATTTTATGTGAAGAAAAAGGAAAGGGGGGAAAGAGAATGGAGAATTTAAGACTTAAAAAAACAACTAAAGAAAAGAAAAATAATTCAAAAAATAAGTACAATACTGGAAAGCAACAGAAAAGGGGAATACAGAAGAGAGAAATAGAGGTAGAGAGACAAGGGGGTAAAAAGGGGAGAGAGAAGAAGAGATGGAAGAAGGAAAGAAAAAGAAGTTATAAAGGACAGAAACAAGATATGGAGAAACAGGACCTATTTAGAGATAATGGGTGAAAATCTAACTGAAAAAGGGATTCTGTAAAGGTACATAAGATTGTATTGTTATATTAGTAATAGAAATAACCTTAGAAAATTGGAAACAACGTATGATTAAAATGAGGGATAAAATAGTTAGTGTAATTTAGTGAAATGTTTGTGAATAAAATAAGTGAAATAAAATAAATGAGAAAACTGAATTAGGAAGGAACGGGAACATTTTAATTAGTTAATGTTTTATAAAATATAAGTGAAGGGGGGGGAATTAACTATGGAAAGCTTATAATTGTTCCCCTAGAAGTATGATATTTAATTGAAAAGTAAAGATGTTAAGATTTTAATGAATATTAATATTAATGATAGAATTGAATTGGAATGGAATTTTGTCTTAATTATATATATTTATAATTTTTTCTTTTTAAGAATACAGTGTGTATTTTAAGAATATACCAAGCAGAATCCGAATGGAAGTTATGTATTATATTGAATGTTACAACTTTAGGGAAAAGATATAAAGGCGTCATACTCCAATCAGTAACTACAGGAGAAATTTTGTTTAATGAAAAAAGATAATAGATAATTGAAACAGGACAGACAAAAAATATAAATACAATGATTTGAATTGAGATGAGATAATTAAAATAAAATTGAGAAAATTAAAAGAGGGGAGAAGCTATGCAGAAAATGTAAAATAGTAATAAGATATGAAATAGAATATAAAAATGAGCATGAACCTAAATTTGTGTCTGTACGAAGAAATGTAACCCGGGATTACGCTACTTTCAAAAAAGATGTTTTATTTGTATTTTTTTTCTCTTTGTGAAAACTCAAATAAAATTTACAAAAAACAAAACAAAACTGTACTCGGTCATTTCTCTCGAAAAATGCAATTTTGCCAGATTTCAGGACACTCAGTATATTTGGCCTTGGGTCCAATTGAGATGTTTGGTACTAAGCCAAAACCAAAATCACACTAGAACAGTGCATTGCAAGTTTTGGATCTGGATTTCTAAAAGGGCTTCCAGAGGGCTAGAAAGCATAAACACGGCACCTTTCTACAAACTCCTAAACGGCAACACTGCTAGGGTTGCACAGCTGCCCTCTGTAGTTGTGATGCTGGAAAAAGATGTAGCTGTTTTAAAGAGACTACATCCGTGCTCTTTGTGTAGGAGATGAGCAGGCTGAATTCAAGGGTGGAGTTAAATGGGTCATCAGTTTGGAATCCTTGCATTCCCACTTTTAAGTCCGGCCTCCCATGAATTCCACTGACCCTTAGCTAATGAAAATTCATCTTGACCATTAACAAACCAAATTCTTCTATATAGGTAGCACATAAGAATTTTTTTGTGCTTTGAGCTCTACTCCTGTTGTTGGTTACTTGTGCCTGATACATTTTGGAGATCAAATCCAAACCTTAATAAGAGATTTATTTTCTTAGGCAGTTTAAAACAGCATTTTATCTGGAAATGTTCCCAAGAAACAACTCTCCAAATTATAAAGTAGGAAATACCAACAGATCATAAATTTCTCTACAGGTAGTGCTCAATTTATGACCGTCATATGGAGTCTGTAATCATAAAGTGAACCCATTGTTCATTATGGGCTGTTTTTACCAAAAATTGGAAATAAATGTGTTTTTTGGGGGAAACATGGTCATGTGACTGCAGGTTGCTACAAATAGCCATAAATAAGAGTTAGTTGCCAAGTGCCCAACATGAGGTCACATGATCATGGAAGAACTTCAGAAGAAAGTCATAAATACTGGAGAGGGGATTGTCTGTTGTAACCTCAGATGGTCTCTAAAAGGACTAGTCATACATTGAGAACTATCTATAAAACCCGTTGAAAAACTGTTGGAAAACCACAGCCACAACGAAAAGAAACATGAGTTTTCGTCTGCAGGCCTAGACCCTTTGCAATATCTTGTCTGCCAATATTTGCTAACAGCTGGGATTATATTTCGTTTCCCACAACTCTCCAATCATCTTTTGTAATACTGGTTCTATCAGCTGATATGAGATTTGCCAAGTGTGATTTAGCACCCTTTAGCTGCATTAGACTGCAGTCACTCTTGTGACCTCAACGTTTCTGAAAATTTGCCGTTCAGTGGTTGTGAGTCCCCGTAGGTTTCTGAGCTGTCTGAATTTTTTCCTGCTGGGCATAAAAGATGGTTTTCAATATTGTTTCCTTTTTTTAAAAAGTATAAACGTCCTGGAATTACCTCAAGTGTTTGAATTTCAGTTTTTATCTTCTGCTGCACTGTTGTTGTTTGAGTGATTTTATGTTTCAAAACACTCCTGTAAGCTCCCTTGGATCGCTTAATCCTTATAAATCAGTGTTTTTCTCAAACTTGGCAACCACAAGATATGTGGATTTCAACTCCCAGAATTCCCCAGCCAGCCATTCCCCAGCTAGCTAGCTAGCTATCTGGGGAAATCTGGGAATTGAAGCCCATATATCTTAAAGTTGTCAAGTTTGGGGGAAAAAACCTGCTATAAATCAAGTAAACCAATAAACAAACTTCTGGCACTTACACACTTATTGTTTCTTCTTGCAGGATGTGAGCCCTGTACCTTCAGATCCCTACCATCCAGTGTGTCCTTTAAACTCATTCCAGGTGGGAGGATACTGCCATATTTCTTTTTATTGACACTAACCAGAAAAACCAAGACAGGAATGGGAGAGGACAGAAAAACAACTATTGTGCATGGTATGTGCAACGAGGCCTTCTTCTTCTTGTGGCATATCCGTCATCGACCGTTGGCAATCATGTTGGTGATCCTATTTTTGTCAACAGCCGCATAAAAAAGCGCTGCTGAGTTCTGTCTAAACCAGTCCCTTACATTTTGAAGCCATGACCTCCTTTGCCTTCAATCTTTCCTTGAAGAATTAAGTGAAGTATTTTTCTGAGTGTCGCATCACATGACCAAAATATTCTAACTTTCGGATTTTTTTATAGTTTGGATGATTTGCCTTGGCTTTCCCAGGCGGCTTATCACCTCCACATTTCTGATTTTGTCAGCTGTTATGTGTAACAGCCACCTGTAAATCCACATTTCCAAATGCTTCTAGTTCTCTTGGAGTGGCTTTCTCTCAGAGATTAACTCTCCATTCCAAAAGGCCATTGGATATTTTTTTTCCGTTTCTTTGAAAACGTTTCGTTTCTCATCCAAGAAGCTTGTTTAGTTCTGGAAAAAAAATGAAGAAGCTTCTTGCATGAGAAGAGAAACGTTTTCAAAGAAGAACAAAACAAGGAAGTCCAGTGGAAAAGGACCTTTGGGACCAACCTTGATTTGAATAACGGACAATCTCCATAGACAATAAAGGAACTGCTCCCTTATTTGCCCCAACAACTAACCTTCCTGGGAATAGTAACCTAGTTTGGGCTAAACAAATTGGCCCCAAAGAAGAAACGCCATCTGAGGTAACTAAAACCATGCATTTCAGACCTTTTAAGAGAGCCGGGTTCATCTCCCCCGAACCGCTGCTCTACAGCTAGCATCGAGCTCGACCAGCAGAAGGGAGGAAACCTCTGAAGCATGGGAAAACCTCCCAAGTGCAAAGCACCCCTTCCTTCTTCCCAGCCCACCCCGCCCGTTCCGCCCACCGTCCTCAGTTTGCACGAAAGAGATCCGCCGCTGCGGCCCGGCTTACCTAACTCGATGCCCGGGTTGTTAGCAGCCATGATCGGCGGAGAGGCGAAAGTCGATGCTCTTCCAGGGCAAGGCACTTTCACAGTGCTTCCTGGTTACGCCCTTTCCCTCCTTCCCTCCACCCCGTTCTCCTCCTCCTCCTCCTCTTTCTGCCGTCTCCCCTCCAAGAAGGCCCCCGGGGCGGAGAAAGGCGAATCGGATTCGCACCTCTTTGGGTGACCGCTTGAAAAACTGCAAACGAAGCAGGCCCCGCGATTCTGCATATTGTGATGACAAAGAGAAAGCGCGCCGGGTAGTGAGCAAAGAAAATGAGAGGCAAAGGGCTTGGTTTTACTACTACTACTACTACTACTACTCTCCTCCTCCTCCTCCTTCCTCTTCTGTCAGCCAGATGTTCAGACTGGGTTTGGCATTTTTGTCTACCTATCGAGTCTTTACCAAGGACTTGGGATAGGCAAATCTGGATGTTTGATGGTGTTATAGATATCTCTCTGGGATGGAAGCTGTTCCAAGTAAAGCTGCCTTCTGCAATTGACTGATGGCAAATTTGCCAATGCAATTTTGTACTACTACTACTACTACTACTATTTATCATTACCATCATCATCACTATTATCATTCATTCATTATTCATTAAACATGAAACTCAGTCTACTGAACGTTTCAAAATGTATCATAAATATAATTGGTGCTAATGGGCACTAATGATACGGGTTGCTGCCAGCATCCTAGGTATCAACCAAGTATTATTGTTATTTATTATTAGTAGTATGGCCCTGTCCATTCATTCATTGCCCAGGGAAAGTTAGGACTGCAAAGGTAAAACATTCGGTTGTCTTGATTTGATTGTCATGCTGTTTTTGGGCTCATCAATTGCAGCTGCCCCTATTAGCACTGCAGTGATTGAGCTGCCTTGATTTTACAACCAGGAGGCTGCCTTCATTAATGATTTACATGATATCATCCAGATAAATCAACATTGCAGACTGGACAATGTACAGCCTCTCCGTGTACAAGTTACCACAGGTTGAAATGCAGCCCTTGTTGATCTCGACAATCATGGAGCTTAAGGGCTAAATGTAGGCCTTGCTTCCTACCCTCCAGCCAATAAGAGGTAGGCCTATTGCACCAGTGATAAAATGAGGGGGAAAAGAGTCCATCACCTTACCTTCTCCAAGAAAAGGTAGGAAAGGAATGCCACACTTGGAATTTGGCAAGAAAGCTAAAGAGCAATTCATAATTTATTGGGTTTTTGACAAAGCGGCCTCTGGCCTTAAAGTTTTAGGCAGGGGCAGAGAGCTGTCATTTTCTCCCTGTGGAAGCATTAAGAACTGGTTTTCAGTTGTTTTTAAAGCTGTGGCAATAGCATTGGCTGCTGTTCTTGAGGTCAAAGGTTTTCTTCTTGTAGTAAATATAATTGCTTCAGGAAGCCATCTTTTGAGTTTCATAATAAAAAGGTTCTGATCTTCACTGGAGATATCATTTGGTTCTACCTGATGACAAATGGCTTGGAATCTACTTTCCTCTTTGGCTTAAGTGTGGCACAGATAATTGGGTGAAGAAAGCCATAAAAGAGGAGTTTCATATTTTGAAAGGTGCAACTGTTTACAGGATGTCGTAAGTTTACAGTGTCATCCCTCATCTTCCTTTGCAAAATAGTCTGAATTGCAAGCAAGGGTTAGTAACACTCCATAACCTTCTATCAGCTAAGAACAAAAGGCACCCATGATGGAATGGAGTAGGTAAATTAGTGACTCTGCCTGTGTATGTACAGAAACAAATGGTGCCAATGAATCCGCCATTTTTTATTGCTTCCAAGATGAAGCTCCAAAACCATGCTGCATTAACTGTCTACAAACACTTTTTCACAATGTAAATGCAAAGTATTTCCGAATGTGGTAAATTTGAAGGCTATGCATGCATCAAGAAACATACAGGTAGCCCTCAACAATTAGGGCTAGACTTTCTGTTGCTAAGCAAGGCAGTTATTGAGTCATGTCTGATTTTACTTTACTTGCCGTGTTTGTTAAGCAAATCACTGCAGTCGTTACGTGAATTGTGCAATTGTTATTGACTTCGATTCGTTGGAAGCCAGCTGGGAGTCACATACGGCAATCACAAGACTCTGGGACTCTGCAACTGTAGTAAGTGCGTGTTGTTGACCAAGTGCTCAAATTCTGATCACAAGACAATGGGGATGCTGCATTAAGAGTAAGATCCGGTTACAAGTCACTTTTTTTCAGTGCCATCGTAACTTTGGATGGTTGATAAATGAGTCACTGTAAATCAAGGACTACCTGTAATCTACAAGAGCTACTCTTGAACATTTCAATAGGAAGGAAGCACATACAGAATGGAAAATCCTTTTCTTATACGAACATGAACCTCCTATGTTTTTCTATTACACAGCTATTTACATCAGGTTACCATATCCATGTACACATCCATATCCAAATCTCACCAGGATCAAGGCTGACTCAACCTTCCATCCTTTCGAGGTGGGTAAAATGAGAACCCAAATTGTTGGGGGAAATAGGCTGAGATTGTAAACAATGTTAGAGAGGACTGTAAAGCACTGTAAAGCAGTATATAAGTCTAAGTGCTATTACTACTTGCATATAGACGGAGGATTCAAGCAAAAATGTCTGCCAGAAACCAATGCAAAAAAAGATGGAGCACCAAGATACAGAGGGGAAAATACTGCATTTGTAAGCAACCAAGAGAGCTGGTACTCTAAAACCAGCTGATTCATAGAATACCGTTCAAATTTTGTTTGAAAGTTAACATTCTCAGATCTTCCCACTAAAAAAAGACCATCTATAAAAAAAACCAGTATCAAAGGCTAGGCTACAATTATTTTTCTCGTCTTGTTTGATTTTGATTTTGTAATCTGTTGCGAAAATGCAGTAATATTATTTCTCCTAAAGTCCCTATTCCTAAATGCATGGCCCTATATAATTAGTTCACGTTTTTATCTTTTTCACATCCTAAAATCCATCATAACTGCATTAATGTTTCAGGTATTTTACTACCTCCAAAGAATCAGTGTGTCACAGAGTTAATCTTAATACTCGGCTCCCCTTGTACTGCAGAACGCTGTTAGAATGTTCCTCAACATTCAACCTGCCAGATTTGCTGAACTGCATTGTTTAGATCACCAGCCAAAATGGCTGATGGATATGGGTGTAAGACAATTGACTGCAACTCAACAGATACCTAAAGAGAAGAGGATGGACAAGGCTGTTCTAAAAGGGCTTGTATTCCTTTTATGTTGGATATAATATTGTATATTCTGAACACATGCTGCCATTTATAAACGTCAATGGCTGACCTTATATTTATTCTCTGGTTAATACAGATGACTCTTTAAACCACCATTTTATTCCTATGCAGCATATGAATTATTTGATGTATACATACAGTTTGTTTTTGGAAAAAAACCCATTAAAAATCATATAGAAATACTTAGCTGCTTCCGTTTAAAAGTCCAGAAGAAATGCAATGGCTAAGTAGATATGTTTTTACATAGTGTAAATTCAGATAATATATGAACAATTTAGACCAGAGGCAATTAATACAGGGATGCTCCTCCACGTTATCTTTTTAGAGATAAATTTTGAATTATGAAATTTTACTGGAGAACATGCAAGCTTCAAGCAGCAGGCCATTCGGCCACCTATCGTGCAAAAAACACCCCCCAAACTTACTCCCCCCCTTATTTATTTTAATACAAAGCCCCAGGCTGTTCAGTACTGTTCAGAAACAGATGAATTAACCTGGTACGCTTTATAACATTTTCTAGGAGTGCCATTGTAGGAGCATTTTATTTAGATGATCTGGAAACAGAAGCAGTGTACAATAAAAGTGGGAGGGCAAAAAAAACAACCCTAAACCACAAATATTTTATTTAACCAAATGACCCCCGCCTTTCGTTAGCCTTTCCCCACTTTCAGAGAACACACTCTAACCAAGATACCGTTACATTTCTCCTCAATAAAACACTACAATGACTTAATCTTAACGCTGGAGAAAAAACAGGATCTCGGCGCCTGGTTATGTTCAGACTTAACAAAAGGCAATAATGCTTCAAAGACAGCCAAACCGTTACTTTTTGTGTGTGTGTGTGTCTCTATTCATCTTTCTTGACAACCTGTTCCTATGCATTCTCATCAATTACTGCCTCTCTCTTATTTAGCCTTCGGTTCTCTTTGCACCCTGAGGAGAGGCTGTTGCATATGACTGCTCTTGGTTTTTGTTTTGTTTTTCCGTTTTTTCTGTTTTCTTTTTGGGATCGAAGCTCAACGAGTTCGTGTGTTGTCCTTAACGGCCGTGACGCTCAAGCCTTAACTTCAGGAGGTGTGCTATAGATGGAATCTGTGTTTTCAGAGCCAAGGTCTTCTGCCAAGTTGAGAGTAAGGGAAGAACAAAGAAGAAAAATCCTCCGTTAATTTTTAGCAGAGGTTAATTTAAAAATATGCATTGCTATTCCTGTATTCCACCATAACACAGGGTCTATTCCAGTCTACAGAGTCTCGGTTTGCTCCCGGAAGTAGCATCTGGTCACAGTTGGCCTTTTGGTCAGTAGGCTAATGTGAATGTCTTTCTTGTGTTCATCCAGCCAACACCACCCAGCCCAAGCAATATTATCTTCCAGACAATTCCTCTACATTGTGAGATTTTTTTTAAAAAAAAGGCCAGTTAAAATATTGGTGCTGCAAGCAGTCCTCGACTTATGACCACAGTTAAGCCACAAAATTGATGTCATTAAGTGAGACAGTTAAGTGAATTTTGCCCCATTTTACGACCTTTCTGCCTCAGGTAAGTGAATCACTGCAGCTGGTAAGTTAGTAACCTGGTTGTTAAGTGAATCTGGCTTCCCCTTTGCTTGTCGGAAGGTCACAAAAGGGGAAAATCACACGACTTTGGAACACATTAGCGGTCATAAAATAGGAACCAATTGCCAAGCATCTGAATTTTGATCATGTGATGATGGAAATTCTGGAAAGGTTGTAACTGTGAAACACGGTCGTCAGTCACTTTTTTCAGTGCCGTTGTAATTTGAACGGTCACTAAATGAACTGTTGTAAGCAGAGGGCTACCTCTGTTAAAATATTTTAATGTAAACGAG